ATGGAGCAGACGCAGTGCTTCTCCTGCCAGCGCCCCCATTTCCAAGTGAAATCGACTCACGTTGGAGTTGTAACGGGTGAGGTGTGTGGCGCCACCTGAACTCAGCGGAAGTTGCAGGTGACTTGGTGTAATTTGAGGTAGTCTGATTCAGTTTTTATCACCCATTTAACTCAGATGGCCTGATGTGAATGGATTCACGGTGAAGGTGAAGGCTATCCCTACCCTGTCCGACCTCATAATAACACTGCAGTGGATTTCGAATGCAAAAGTTAATATTTAGCCAGGTAATGCTTTTTGCAACAGGCAAAGCAAATGCGTTTACTTGCCTAAATCTAGGGTGACAGACAAACGTGTTGTTTTCAAACATTCCCTTTTCATGAATTGTATTTTATTCTCTAACTTAACGATAGATTAAACATCTGTTTTGAATATAAAGCCAGAACTGTGGATGAATTTCGAATGGTCAGGTTTTGTCAGGTATTAAGAGCTCCTTTATAGCCGCCAAGCTCTGAGTTCTTTCTTGGAGGTAAAACACAATACTAGTTGATAATTTGTGACCAAAACGGACGGATGGATGGATGGCTACAGTAGTACTATCAGCGTAAAAAGTTTGGCTTTCAAACCAGTACTTTTAACCTTCCTACTCTATTGCTCTTCAGTAATACACATTCTGCCATGCTACATTCTCATTGCGATGGTAAGGAGGACTTTGAAGAAGACTCCAAATGCTAAATTTAACTTCCGCATAAAACATTTTAATATATTATGGTTAAGTTCTAGTGTTCATAAATGCACTGCCCCAAGTCTTTCCCGAAGTCATAAAAAAGCGGAAGCAGCACAGGCGATCGTACGGCGGAGCATGGGTGCTGCTATAACATAGACCGAAGGCCACGCCACAACGTGACAGTGAACCCTCCGGACACTGTAGTGTTCACGTAGTTGAGCACAAGGTTAAACAAAATACTAAGGCACCACATGGATTCATTACTTTTATCAAGAGTAAAGTAATAGGAACATGAGGTCCACCTGCAATCGTGTAAAATTCACTAAGGTTGCGCGAATACGAAGCCTCATGGCATGGTAGCACAGGGACGGTATTTTTGGACAAATGGCCACATTCCTCAGCTACTTAATGGATTGTTCATGGACTTGGTCAATTCATCTTCTCTCCAACCAACACTCTCAAGACCTTGCGCATTTGGCACTTCTTTCGACGTATCACAGATGTTTGTGCTTTGTTATAATAGAAAAAAAATTTCAAGGTTAAACGCTCTCTACCCGATGCTAAATTTAGAAGTAGCATATGTATTCGCACCAGACAAAAACGGCTTGAAAAAATGCACCTGTGTTGGTAAACGCAAATCCATTTCATCAAGACGTGCAACATACCTCGGGACTGTAGTGTGTGCACGGTGACAATACTAAATCTTGACAACAGGTGAATCAAGTGACTTGAGGTAAACATGATTCACGCATTCATTTCATCATGCTCACCTTTTCGATCGTAGAATGAATGCTAACCAATTGAAGTCTTGTAAGTCTCATAAAGTCCTTTCGAATACCCTTCCAGTTGAACGGCAAACTAGCTCATTGCTTAGCCTGCAACCACACCACCGTCGTCAACTTTCTAAGGTTAGCTAGACATCTTCAAAGTGAAGAGGAAATGATGAAGATGTAGAAAGTCGAGCTCTCATAGGAGTATCAGGAGCACGTATTATGCCAGCACATGAAATGCAACAAACAAAGGAAAGTAAATCAAATGTAGCATAAATTTGTCACTTTTGTATCGCTAACTTGACCTTATGGACAAGAACAATGACGTAGAAAACAAACCCACGTAAGAAGCTTATTTAAAACAGATGACAAGTTGGTGGAAATGTATTTATAAAACGTCTGCTTTGAAATTCACACAGGTAGAGGAGCCTGTACTTGATGCAGAGGCAGAGCCGATGGGTGGACATCAAGGCGCAACGAGAACATTGAGCACACTTTTCGGCACCCTTCCACGTGTCAAACCCTTGTTCATTGCCATAAAGTAGGTACTGTCACATTCGAACAGGAGGTAGATCACTTCACCAGCCTTAAAGACAGCAAGTCAATCAAATATAATGAAAGTTAATGTGGAAAATAGGGGTTAAACAGGGCTATTCTATTATCGGTGTTGAAAATTACCCCAACGGAGAGATCGTCATCCCCGGTGCCGACAAAGTCCTTAATGACCCGAGCTCGTGGCATGCGCTGCAGCACCTGGGCCAGCTCAAGGCTGGAGCTGATGGGGCGAGCATAATCACTGGGCACAACCACGAGTTGGCCCGACCACGTTTCGCAATCGAGGAATCTACCCGCGGGCAGAGGAGGAGGCTCGCTTTCAAGGTACTTTGGCTCGTAATCCAGCCACCGCAGAATATCATTATTCTGGCACAGAAATTGAAAATAAGTCAAGCCAAGGAAAACAATTGAAAATGAAGCGATTTTTAAGACAAAGGATGATAAGTTGTGGGAAAATAGGCACGTGCCTACCTTAAAACCTAGTGACTGTGTTTGCAGTGTTGCCGGGATGTTCTCGACCATCAACCACACGAATGTTTTAGTAGAAAGTTCATGCTAAAAAAATTAACAAAGTAAAAAAGACAATTTTGAAGCCTTAAATGCCGCTCAGGAGCAAAAGTGGTTCTTAGTAGTGCAAGTGGATTTTGGTGGGGTTATCAGAAAATTCTGCCACCTACACCAAAGCTTACCTTCTCTCGATGTAATGGCATCGCATTGTCATCTGGTGGCTTGTGGAGTGGAGGGCTAAAATAAATAAATAAAAGCCAACGATTTCCCCCACAAACAATGGCACGCTGGCATGGTAACGAATGCAAATGTGTTAATGAGCAGCATAAATGAGAGGTGTTGAAGGCGCCATGCAGATGTTGCCTCCACTTTAAGGGACTGAATGCACTTGAGGCTTCGTGAAGCATTAACTCAACGCGAAATACAGCGGTTTCCAGGTTATCACTCAACACTCACGGCGCTACTGCAGGCTTTGGGAGCTTTCAAAATAAATATTCAAATTTAGACAGTCATGCTAACCCCGTCTACTACCTTTTGACGCAATGGTCAAATAATTTGTAGAAGTGTCAATTCATTTTCATCTGTCTTTTGTCACAATACTGCAGTGATTTGTGGCCTCAGTCGACTGTTTGCCCTTTTCCATGGGTTGTGGGTCCTCTCAGTCGCACTGCCCTCGGGACAGGGCAACGGCCCACCAGCCCCTCCGTACGTACGTAAGTAGCATCCTCCACTGTGGCTAATCGAAACTTAGGAGATGATCTGGCATGTGACAATAAAGCATCAAACAATATCAACGTTTCATACGCAATTTTAACAAGAGCCAATGAGGTGAAGCTCAACTTGCAAAGTTTTGACAAAGAAATTCCAGAATTTACCTTCATGGACGGCTTAGGCGGCAGGCATGATGCAACCCCTCCCGAACTGAAAAAAAGCACCAGTTATGTCAGCTTCACCTCAAGATGTAAGATACACTCGGGAAATTATAAGGCATTAAATGAATGCGAAGTGTGGGGGTTGCCTGGTTTTCGCTCAAGACTCACGGTGCTATCCCGGTCGTCGGGGAGCCCTAAAGTGGATATCCAAGCGTAGACAGTCCAACTTTTCCATTTACCACCTTATGACAATAGGGTCAGACAGCTTGCAAAAGCATCGGTTTAGTCAACTGTGTGTGTCTAACTGTTTGTACATTTACGTCTCCCTCGGTGGGTTGTACGCCCTCCCAATGGTACGGGCTTTGAGACGTGCTAATGGTCTCCCAGCCCTTCTGTTCCCTTGCAAGTAGGATATACTGTCATTTCACAATGGATTAACAAGACTTAGGAGGAGACCTGAGACGCGACAACAAAGTATCAAGCGTTATCAACATTTCATGCACGATTATAATGCAAGAATCAAGGAGGCGGATTTGAAAATGCAAGACTTTGACAAAGGGATGCTAGAATTTACCTTCGAGGGCTTTTTGGTCAGCAGCTGTGGTGAAACCTCTTCAAAACTAAAAAAAATCAACAATACTGATGTACTTTCCACTCTAAGTGGTTTAATCAACCTGAGGGATTAAGAAGCATTGTCTGAACACTGAATGTGGAGGCTTTCAGGTTATCGCTAAAGACTTACGGTGCTGATTCAGACGTTGGAGAGTCCTGAAGTGAATCACCAAATTTATCCATCACATTAATGCACAAATTTCACGTGTTTTACGGTCAAAAGTGGTGTGCCAATTGAGTGAACTGGAAATGGAGGCACAATCGACAACCGCATTGAAGTATTGTACAATGACCTTTACTATCCAGTAGAATTCCTTGTCTATGATACTGCCAAACGCGAAAAACGCCCATCTTGATGGCGTTTCATTGCAGGGACAAGCTGCTTCCCCTGAGCTCCTGAGGGATTGTAAATAGCCTGGGAGTGCCAGACATGCTTATCGCCTGCAATTGGCAAAGTTAAGCCATTCATTTAAGCCTATGTTCCTTTAAGTAAAGTGAGTCTGCTGATGTAACGCGTATACATTATTGTCTAGTGTTTTCAGCACCGGTAGTGTCCTGGGTATCATAGGCTGTCTTATAGGTACATGTGTGAAGAAGGTCGACATGTTGATCCACAGCAATTACGTGAATTTCGTCTACCATGTACGTCCAAACAGGACAGACTTACATCGCTGAACGATTTAGATTTGCCTAGGCGTTGGGTTAATTCACCAAGTACGGCATCTTGCTTAGCGTTTCGCTGGAAAAAAACCTGCTTCAGGGGTTCCGGCGACATCGACTTTTGTATTCCATCGTCGAAGTCAGCTCTATCCGTTTGCAAAGAGGTGATCGGCGGAGACTGCAACAGATCATGCAAAAATAAGTCTCGTTAATGCAAACACATTTTTGCCACCTACAAGACCCCACTGCTTCATTGCCATACTTTCTACGAGGCAGCATGATTCGTCAAGCTTGCACGTGATATCCAAAGAACCAATTCGTATTCATATTAATGCAGAATAAATTGCTGTTTCAGAAAAGCGACTAAAGTAAAAATGTCGGACCTAGTTTGTAGCAATTACATTCTTTACCAAGTCCGCATTTTGAGGTACTACTAGTCTGGGAAAGCATCTGCTTTCATGTCATCTTTGTCTCCTACCTGATTGTTTGGCTTCTCCGACGAGAATGGCAAACTGTAACCACCACTGGAAAATAACAGAAAAGTTTATGTTCTTTCCTCAGAAAGTAGCGCCATATCGGTGCAGTTACAAACGCCAGTGGATTGATAAATGACATAACTTAGGTGTGTTGAAAGGTTAATGACAAAGTTACTTCTACTTTAAGAGGTTAGATGGGTTCGGGGGGCGTGGAGGGGGGTTAATCAAACCTTAACGAATGGTTGAATGCAGAGGTTTCCAGGTTAGTGGCAAAAACGCTTACCGCGCTTCTGCAAGCGTTGAGGAGCTCTAAATTGGATGTTTAAGGTTAAGTCACTACTAATACGCTATATTCATGTGTCAAACAAGAAAAGTGACAACTTCTACAGAGTGTAACTATAACTGCCAGTTGGATGAACTAGTAGGTTAACAAATAGAGGCAAAATATAGACCAGCACATTGAAGGAAAATGCAGTAGTGATTATCCGCTAGTGATTTGGTGGACTGAAGTATAGCAGGCAAATCAAAAAGCTATTCGTATTCATATTAACGTAGAATAAATTGCTGTTTCAGAAAAGCGACTAAAGTAAAAATGTCGGACCTGGTTTGTAGCAATTACATTATTTACCAAGTCCGCATTTTGAGGTACTACTAGTCTGGGAAAGCATCTGCTTTCATGTCATCTTTGTCTCCTACCTGATTGTTTGGCTTCTCCGGCAATTTTGGCACATCGTAACCACCACTGGAAAAATAACAGAAAAGTTTATGTTCTTTCCTCAGAAAGTAGCGCCATATCGGTGCAGTTACAAACGCCAGTGGATTGATAAATGACATAACTTAGGTGTGTTGAAAGGTTAATGACAAAGTTACTTCTACTTTAAGAGGTTAGATGGGTTTGGGGGGCGTGGAGGGGGGTTAATCAAACCTTAACGACTGGTTGAATGCAGAGGTTTCCAGGTTAGTGTCAAAAACGCTTACCGCGCTTCTGCAAGCGTTGAGGAGCTCTAAATTGGATGTTTAAGGTTAAGTCACTACTAATACGCTATATTCATGTGTCAAACAAGAAAAGTGACAACTCCTACAGAGTGTAACTATAACTGCCAGTTGGATGAACTAGTAGGTTAACAAATGGAGGCAAAATAGACCAGCGCATTGAAGGAAAATGCAGTAATAATTATCCGCTAGTGGTTTGGTGGATTTTAGGAGTTATTGGTGAATTTTCTCGCCTACACAACAACTTGGCCTGTGCGAAAGATTCACTTGGTTGTCTGTTGCATTATTGGATAGAGGTCTGAAAAGAGACAAAAGGCGATTCTTTTCCTTACAAAAAACTGCGTCATGATAGTACACTTGCAAATGCAAATATACGAAGGTGGGGATTAAGCAAGATACACTACAAAAATCCTACCAAGGAGGTAAGGGAATTATTTCCAAGCCTAACTACATCATTCAGCAGCTAGGAAATAGTAGTAGCAGTCCCATTCGCAAGATAAATGGAACCACTGATCCACTGCCAAAAAATCAAACTTCTGTTTTGTTTAAATATACTCAAAAATTTTTAAAGAGCAACCTAATAAACGCCACATTACTATCCCATTACACCTTTCTCAAGGGCTCTTGAAAATTGACAGTAATCTCATTTTATCAAAATACCCAACTCAAAACAGTAATTAAAAGAATCTTTTCTTTCAAGGAAAGCTATAAAGATAGTACTTCAGAAGGAACACTTATGACGCCCACGTGTATTCTCTCGACCTTGGGTTTGTGAAGATATATACGTTATTTTTGGAAATAGGGTGTAATGAGATAAAAAAAGTGGTTATTAACATCTGTCAGTCGGTTGAGGAATCTCCCAGTAAGGACACAAGTGGCTATTCACAAAAGCTGATGGCGAACTGTTGGCACTCTCATGCAAGGCAAAAAAATAACCTGGAAGGTCTTGCGCATTTTTTCCGGACAACTTCAAGGAAAAAGTTTTCAGCAGTCAAAGAGAGTATTATGCAAATCATATTCTGCTAAATACTTCAGAAGTGATTTTATGGGATAAAAGAATAGCAGGCACACCGAACTTACTCATTAAGAAAATGAAACTACAAACGGAAAAACCGAATGATATTTTATAAAGTTCGGAGTGTACAACGTATTTACAAAATCATAAAATGAACAATAAAGCAAGTGGATTCCAACCAACTCATATTTTAGTGTACAGGCAGCAAAACTGGCTGTCATTGTAACCGGATGAACAAGGGGTGGCCAGAAAGTGGCAGCATTAGAACTAACCCCGCTCTGCACACAGACAGTTAAGGGAACGACTGTAATTGCATCAAGTAGCAGTTCTATAAATCACACCATTCATCGTAGAAAACAAATTAGGCGAGAGTGAAGAGAAAGTATACTCATTCCATAATAGGAGGACTGAAGGGAGTATTAATGTCATTCTGGAGGCAGGATTTGAGGCACAACCTTTTGGCCTCTGGTGGAAAGATTACAGTGCACTATTCGTTCTGCAGTCAGCTATACAAAAAGTAGTCACCTGGAGACTAAGTGGTTCACGCCTCAGAGGTGTGAAGTCGGTTAGTAAGTGGGTTGGCTGGCAATAATCCCTAATAAGCCCGTTTGCTTCACATTACAATACAAGAACTACCTCTCCTTAAAAATCAGGCAACCAAAAAAGCCGTATGTTCCCAAGACTCATGCGAAAGAACTGTTTAAACAAAATGACATCCTTCCAAACTTATTGCCGACTGTCAATGCAGATGACACCTAACCCACCGGTACCCACACCCTTACCAGCTGCTGCAAGTGTAACTGATTTGTTTCAATAGCCACGTCAAACATTGCTACAAGTTCTCAACTCCCAATTGATGTGGTAATAGCGGCACCTAATTATGCACTATAGATAAAACGCGGTCTTCCTGAACGCAAGGCGTCTTTGAGAGATCCACCATTGAAAAGAAAAAATTA